GATAAAAAAATGAATTAGTTTCTTTGTTATATCGCTATCCTCAAAGCAATGCAAGATGGTTAGTGAAATTTCAGGGGCACATCCTTGGGGTAATTTCAGTTTTGGTTAACTTTTGAAAATGGATAAATTAATAAACCGAAGAAAAAACGGAAAGATGTATTAGTGTTCAATTTCAGAGAAATGGAGTTCTGAGGCAAGTAGACAATCGTATTTTCCAAATGACTTCAACGTTTTATTTTCTCTTTTCTACAAGATGAAAGTCGTGAAGAATATTATTGTTGTATATGGATCTTCGGATATATTATGTAGGTGTATGGGGCATAATAGAGGATGGGAGGAAGCAGCTTCTATGTTATCTGGAACCCCTGTAGAACTGAAAACTTGCAATGCTGCTTTGTTAGAAGCAACTGGGAAATCATGGGAAGAGGTTTGTTTGCCTTTCTTGATATCCTTCATCTAATTCTATCTGTGTGGATATTGTTTTTATCCTCTGACTATATGTGAATGTAGTCGTTTTGTAGCAAGTACTTATTGATACCTTAAGTTAAACTTGGATATTTTCGAGCGTAATTTTGCATATCCTTTTATTTTGGTTGGAGATGAGAATGATGAAGAAAGAAGAAAATTTACGACATCGAGAGTTTGTTGGGATTTTAGAAGAAATTTATACGACCAAGACCAAAGTTGGGTTGATGTAGAAATAGTTAGGTCCACAGTGGAATTTGCATCTTCATCTAACGTCATGTTTTGTTATTTTTTTGAACACAGGCATTTTCTTTAGCGGGATTTGGCGGTTGGAAACTACACGGCATTGTAAAACCCGACACACAGATGGAGAGAAGTTTTTGAACTTTCAATGTTTCACTTTCACATTTCATCTACAAAATTCCATCAGTCCTTCAAATCCCTAATCGCTGCAAGAGCTATATGAGGAGGATAAATTGTTGGAAAATGCAGAACCTCGTCACTATAAGTCCGTTAGGCTTATTACAGTGAAGGTTTCATTCTTGGAGATGATAGCCAGTCCGGGTTTGTATTTGCATGGAAAAGTATGGGCAAAAGGGTGGGAAAATTTGTTGTAGCTTGTTACGTTTTCAGTTTAGGGCTCTGTTAAGGGACTTACTTCTTCAAGTGTTCCAACTGTTTACACTTGTACTGGGCTCTCAAGGAAGAACTGGAAAACATGGAGCTTCATAATCATGAATTTAATGAAAGATCAGCAAGTCTGATTGATGATCTTTTTTGGATTTGTGAAAAATAATGGTTTGGAAATTTACAATGTTGTTAGATGGTCCTTTGACTACTAAGGTGTGTTCATTTGAGATTTCTAACGGCTTTTTAAGATTTTAGAAATTTTGGTGTATTTAATTTAGATTTTTTAAGAGAAGTCTTGACGTATTCACTTGGGGTTTTAAAAAATCAAATAAAATCATGAAGTATTTAACTTATTTGAGACTTTATTAAGACTTTTAAAAACTTGATAGAATTTCTAAACAAAAAATCTTAGACAAAATCGCACTTAAAATTCCACTCCAAGACTTATGATTTTACAGCATTGCCCAAAAACATGAAAATTTTAAAAAATCTCAAATCTCAAAAATTTGAAATCTAAACTAACACACTTTCAAAAACTGTTGTTCTGATAACAATGCACAAGCTAATTTAATAATATAAAACTGCATAAGCATAAAAAAGAGAAAGGTCAAAGGCAATTTGAGAACATTCATCTGCTCATAAAGAAAGATAATCAATCCATGCACATGTAAAATTCCTCACAGAATGCAAAAATACCAATAGAGAGAGTCTTCATAACCTAATCAAGGCTGTGTAATTTCTCAACCACCAGATACCAATTACAACTCTCTCAAACTCATTTTTTCCGGCCAACAGACGATCAAACTCCTTCCTGGTGAAGAAAACCGAGCGTGAAATTCGACTCCAAAACCGAATGGGAAAATTCCACTTCGGGCCTCGTACATTGTCTTTTTTCTGGTCGGGCCTCGTTCGGGCTCCCGACTGGCGAGCCCAAACGCCGGCATTCAGAATCTGGGGTCAGCGGCTCATGCCTGGAGGAAGATTCATCAGTCGAGAGGCAATTGGGCTGGGCCCGTTTTCCAGTGGTGGGCTTATCTGGCAAAAACGGTTCGGATGTTCTGGTGGGAGTTGACGGGTCAGTTTTGTGGTCGGGTCCAGGGCTGCTATCACGCGCTCCAGGTGCGGGTGCATCGTAAAGAACACCACTGAGTCTTTGCTGTTCTTCGATTATCTTCTTTAGATACTTCCCTTGGGCTTCTATCCGAAGCTGTAGCTGTCTTTGGACCTGTATGATTTAGGCTTTGCTTGTTTATAAAAAAACTAGGAAAGAAAAAAAAAAAACTAAAAAAAAATACATCTCAATTCAAAATCTAGCTCAACTTTAATTAATTTAAACCTCACTATCCTCAATATTATCAATATAATTAAATAATATTATTCAATCGTTCTTACACATCACATCAACTTTAATTCACTATTCATCCACTCACATAATTTTAACTACCTGTCATTTCCAATCATTCATCTCCTACTTCTACATCAAATCAATTTTAATTATTTATTTTAAATATTATTCTAATACAAACTTAAAATCCTACTAAGGGCACCCGCATTGGGGCGTTAAAACTCCCCGTTTAAATGCCAATTTGGCGTTCAGTGGAATGCAACCGTTCATTATTTGAGTGGCCCCCATGTTCCGTTCAAATGGCTGAACGTTCAGCCATCTACTTTTTCCTTTTTTTTGTTTTTTTGTTTTTGTTTTAAATGAATTGTTTAACTATATTATTATTCTTTTACATATTTAAATTATTTTTTATTATATCACACTTTCTAATATTGATAAATTTAGATTTTATCTATATCACAGTTCTCAATATGTATCAATAATTTATATTTTTTTATCTCTCATTCTTTGCCTATAAATACACACTATTTTTACACTTCTCCTCCACCAAAAGATTTAACAACTGCTCATTTGCCTAAAAAAAATGGATCCGAATAATAGGCAAAAATTTTAAATTTGTCAAGTTCTAATCCTAGCAATCCAGATAAAATTCCATTCTTCCAACTTCATGTCGATTTAGTTGAAGTTTAGAGATACGAGACAACATAATGCATCATCAACTTCATGTCGATTTAGTTGAGCATATTTGGACTCATTTTGCCAACAACTAAAAAAATATTTTTTGTAATTGTATTATTATTTTCTTGTATAATCGTAATTTAAGTTATTTTGGTCTTCTAGTGTTCTTTCATTTTCATGCATTTAAAATTTATTATTATAATTTAAAAATATTAAATTTTATTTTATTGAGAATAGAATATAAAAATTTTTATTGAATGAGTGGATAATAGGTCTCATATATGTATTTAAATGAATGTGTAGGAATGTGGGTGTGTGTTTAAATGGAGAGAGATTTAGTGAATACATGATGTGGAGATGATGTGTATGAGAGAGAGTGTTATTTTTTGATTGAATGAATGATATTTGTGTTAAAGGGTTGTGGATGCCCTAACAACTAACCATACTTAACTTTTTTCAAATAAACTCTAGTTAACACAAAAAAACCACTTTTTTTTCTAGTTTTTTTTTATGAACAAGCACGGCCTTATATATTTCGACGAAAATTAGCCCTTTATGATTAGCTTTTCCTACATTGCGATTTTCTCCTGCTTATACTGTATATAATGGAGTAAAATCTTTGCCGGTAAAAAGTGAAAGAAAGAAAAGACTATATTATGCACCTCCAATTGCTCGTGTAATCGCTTTTGAACCTCCATCTGCAGCTTGAGTGCCTCGGTTATTTGCATCCCACTGCTGCAAATCGTAAAGAACTTTCTCATATTAACAGCAATGTAAGTTATATGACCATCATGCGCATTTCATAATGGATTATAAAGAAAATGCATAAATCAAGAACGACGATTTTTACTTACGATGAACCGTCCAAATTGGAAAGAACGTCACCGGATTCTATTTTTTCAGCTTTTTTCCCTTTTAAATAAATTATAAGACAAGCATGAGTTAACTAAACAAATCTGGAGGATAAATAGTAAATAGTTAAATACCCTTACACATAAGTCGCCAAATTGTATAACGAAAAAGCAAGTATATATGATAATACTTACCATCAGAAGAAGAATCTGGAAGATACTTTGCAAGTCGGTATTTCTGTTGGTGACAAAAAAATTAGCAAGGCTCATAGCTGACATGGTAAACGTATAAAGTTCAACAGAAACTGAAAGGAATTTCAGGATGTGTGAATTACCTGTAAGTGGCTTTTCACATGGTAAATCGTTAGGCCTTCAACTCCCATAACTCTAAGAACACCCTTAGGAGTAGCCCCTGTATTACAGAAGAAAAACATCACAAAATATTTTGTTTTCTAAACTTACTATATGAGCATAATAGTCAAAGCAACACATGCAGAACTTTTCCGGTCACAATCACAAAGCAAATTTCATTATCTCAATTACAAGCTCATAATATTTCTTTTCCAAGATAACACAAAAATTCACCAAGGTATACGAAATCCAAGTTAGTCTTTCCTGCCTCGTATATTCTTTCTACTCAGCAATTTCATTAGCTAACATACTAATTTCTTTTCTGGTCCGCGAAAATTCACCAAGGTATCTTACATCAAATTTACTCTTTCCTGCCTCGTATATTCTTTCTACTCAGCAATTTCATCAACACATACTAATTATTTTTCTGGTCTCAATCACCAAGCAAATTTGATTATCTCACTTACAAGCTCATAATATTTCTTTTCTGAGGTATCAAAAATTCACCAAAATATCCTTACATCAAATTTACTCTTTCTTTCCTGCCTCGTATATTCTTTCTACTCAGCAATTTCCATTAACTAGCATACTAATTTCTCAATAATATACATATTTATACAGGAATCAAATGCAAATTCTCTAAAACATAAGTGAAAAGGACTCACTATCTGGCCCACCGAGTTGTGCTACAGCATCAACAAATTGCTCGTGAAGCTCATGTGTCCATCGAAGCCTTTGTTTTGAGGCCAAACTCGTATTGTTGTTTCCATTATTGCCACTACCAATTTGGTCCATTGAACCGCAGTTTACCAGGTGGCTTTGAACAACAGGTGCCGAGCTTGAACTAGGGACACTTTCATTTATCTGTACAGTAAAATTCCGAAATTTATTAAAAAAAAAATAGTTGAAAAATCCACAGAGCATATTATTCAGTTATACACCACAAAGAGATATTTCGAGCAGCAGTAAGTACATTCAAACATAAATGTCATACTCTAAAAAACAACATAAACAAAAGTACTGACATTTCATAACATAAGTATGAATTGTTGACAAAAAATAGTATGATGGGTTGGTACTTGGTAGACCCGCCTCACGGTTAGACTGACTCACACAAAAATTTGTGTTCAAAGCAAATATTGTTCCTAGATGAGTACATGACACTATCTTCTGACAAATTAGGGCTCATCTGATCCAATACCCTTCAGCCAAAAAAAGCAGCACACAAATTGCCCCGCCGCAAAAGATCAGAACATTAGAGCTACAACACAAATCCTGAAAATTTTTCTTTTTTTCTGCACAAAACATAGAGAAATTTGCATTGAATCTACATTACCAGTTGTAAGAGCTATCCAAAAAACCCAAATCCAACAAAACCATGATAGAATCCAGAAAAAAACACAAAATGCAACAAAAATTAAAAGCTTATCCATGACAGGAAACGAAAATGCTTACACGGATCTGAAGAATTCCATGGCCACGATCTATCAAGAACACCGATGCTTAGGGATACAGTAAAATCAAGAACACAGATTCAAATGAATTTGGATTGGGGAAACGATGAACAGAGAAAAGAGGAGCAGATTTTGAGCTTTCCTATAAGAAAAACTCGAGTTCTGGTGAATTTCGATTATTCTTTATTTCCCCTTTTGTTTCTTTATATTATTAATAATTAAATACTCTGTTAATTTATTATAAAATATAGTATTCTTTTTTATTTTTGTGGGTGCATGGGATGCGTGTGCAAACTGCAAAGTGCATACAATGCCGTTCGTGCAATGTCAAATCAACTTTTAAATTTATTTTTTTTTTTTTTTTAATNTTTGCGAAGTTTTATAACATTATTGATTTTAGGATAATAATTCATATCTAACCTCAAACTATTGGAAGATTTTGGTTTTGTAATTTAAATTTTAAGCTTTAGTAAATTGTAATTTCAAATTTATGAATATATTGGCTTTGCAATTTAAATCTTTTATTATACATATATAGAATTCAACTAACTTCTTAAGAAGTTTGAATTTGCAATCTAAACTTCAATTTTTTATTTTTAAATGAAACCTTAATTATACAGATTGGTTTTGAGACTTCGATTGATCATTCACAATCTCATGTTTTTAAGTTGTATTTATAAAAATAAAAAAATATATATAAGTAAACATATGTTGCAAGGTGAAAATTCTTATAAATCTCTTGTTGTATTTTATCCAACATTAAGTTTAGATTCTAGAGTCGAGACTTTCTAAAAAATCTGATTGTATTTTATCAAAATTTACACTTTAAATTGTAAAACAAACATTTAAATTGTAAAAACAAATGAAACGTAGGTATTTTGTAACGAGTACGCTCAACGTTGTTAGAACACAAATAAACAACTAGAATAGCGGAAGCGATAAACCGAAAATTTAAAAACTCTTCAGGGAAGTGTCCCACTTCCCCTCAGAGCTCTTTCATTGATAAACCGTTTGTGCACACTTATATAGTTTGGACTTACACGACTCGAACTCCCTTCTAGCCTAGCCACAACTACAGACGATTCTATCAACTACTTCTCCGACCACGTCCCGTGGATTTTACCTCTCGAATCCCTCGAGCTAAAGGCAGTACTTAATCCCGAAGCACTGATCACACAAGTGTTTGAATGAAAAACAAAAGAATCAAAAGAAAAGACTTCAGTTCTTCGATGACGTAAGAACACCGAAAACTGAACAACGAAAATAAAACACAAAAAGCTTGCAGCTCGAATATGGAATAGAATATAATGCTCTCAGCTCCCCAAATTCGAGCTTTAAGTGGGTATATATACAGCCTCCTTAGGGTTGGAGTCTTCTCCAAGTATAGGACTCCTTTTGTTTTTTATTTCCTTCCAAGTTTATCCAAAGAGATATGGTAGGTGTAGATCTCTATCTTCTCTTTCCAAAGATCTTTCCTTCTTATATGATTTCCTACAAAATATATCCATAATAAGATCATGCAAATCTAATATATATGTATATAAATCGAATATATAAATATAAATATAAATAAATTCGAATACATAAATATAAATATAAATATAAATAAAAGAACTTCTCTTTTTATTTCTCATGCTTGCAGGAATATATCTTCACTTATATTAATTTTGAACTTCATTGCCAAAAATATAACTCTTTCAATCTCCCCCTTTGGCATCTAGTTCGAAAATCATATAATGAAGATAACCTGAAACACAGTTAGAACAGCAAGCACGAATATGCAGAATAATATCATAAGGAACAAATCACTGCAGTAAGAATATCGCAAATAGTGACTGAGTGATAACCCAGTCCATAAAGTACCTGCAGTCACAACTCATTAGACGCACATAGCATAAAACAATCAGAGCAAACATCCTACCAATCACAGCAAGTACTAACAGCAGCCACACAAAAGAAAAGTCATAACAGGTTCTAACAAAAAAACCAATCTCAGCTATTGAATCTCCCCCTGACTTCTCAGCTATTGAATCTCCCCCTAACTTCTCAGCATCATTCTTGACCATCTTTGCCTCTATCTCCCCCTTTTTCGAACTACGGGATGCCGAAGGGCCTGTACCCGTGTTCTTTTTCCATGACGATGGTAATTCCTAACAAAGCAACTAAGAGGACTATAATCAGATCAATCAAAATACATCAAGCTATCAGAACCTAAGCAATATAGAGTGACCAATTCATCTCCCTCTGTCAGAATAGTCAAAACAATGAAACAGCAAGACATAGACGTTCTGACATCATGCAGAAACATGTCAAAAACATGTCAAATACTCAGAAGCAAACAACTATAACATTGACCCCAACATCTTCAGAAACATCATATTTCTCCCCCTTTTTAGACTGAAATGCCAAAGGCAAATCTCCCCTTGAGTAAGAACATCGAATGAGAGAAAAAAATACAACCGAAGACGAAAGTCGTTGCTTGAACTGATCTCTAATCATTGAAGACTATCCATCTCTTCTCTATGCTTTTGCCATCATCCAAAGTGTTGCAGAAGCACATTAGAAAATGATGCAGGAACACATATGGTTAAAAGAAAACTTCAAAGAGAAAGAGATATAAAAATGGGGTTCTCAGGTTCTGAAATGAAGATATATAGTGAGGACGTGATGGGTGAGGTTCGAAAAAAAATATCAAGGGAAAGGTTGAATATCATGCAGCAAGAACATCCCCATCAAAACTGAACACACAAACCCATTAACATACTAACACACATGTCCAACTAATTCAAAATTAAGAAGAATAAGATTTTATCATCCAAAAATAAATCCCCTCACAATTTTTTAATGTCCAAGTAATTCACTCAAGAAGGAAATCACATGCATTATGCCTAAGGATGAAAAAAGTAAAAATAAAACCGCATGCAAGACACTAAAATCAATAAAATCCGTTCTTAATCTACTTAGGCATGATTGATGCATAATTAATCCAAAATCAACATTGTGCTACAAACACACCAAGGAACAAAACAGAGGCGGCAATATTTTATATATGTATATGTAGCGCAAGTCATATCTCTCCAGAATTCCAACGCCAAAACAACATAAGCTTTATTATTCACTAGGCTTTTCACTTAGTAACAACCACTGCAATAGTGAAAGTCAACCCCATTACTTTGCCCAATGATTTTAAGCAACAACATTAATTTACATCGAGGCTTTTCACTTAGTAACAATCACTGCAATAGTGAAAGTCAACCCCACTACTTTGCCCCAATGATCGGTGTAAGAACTCGTTTTTTTTTTTTTTTTTTTTTTTTTTTTTTTTTTTTTTTTTTTTTTTTTTTTTTTTTTTTTTTTTTTTTTTTTTTTTTTTTTTTTTTTTTTTTTTTTTTTTTTTTTTTTTTTTTTTTTTTTTTTTTTTTTTTTTTTTTTTTTTTTTTTTTTTTTTTTTTTTTTTTTTTTTTTTTTTTTTTTTTTTTTTTTTTTTTTTTTTTTTTTTTTTTTTTTTTTTTTTTTTTTTTTTTTTTTTTTTTTTTTTTTTTTTTTTTTTTTTTTTTTTTTTTTTTTTTTTTTTTTTTTTTTTTTTTTTTTTTTTTTTTTTTTTTTTTTTTTTTTTTTTTTTTTTTTTTTTTTTTTTTTTTTTTTTTTTTTTTTTTTTTTTTTTTTTTTTTTTTTTTTTTTTTTTTTTTTTTTTTTTTTTTTTTTTTTTTTTTTTTTTTTTTTTTTTTTTTTTTTTTTTTTTTTTTTTTTTTTTTAAATCATTATGCACTACGTTTTTTATGAAGATGACCACCTTATAACTCCAAGTAAAAACACCACACAATGAAGTGCAGTGGTTGTCAATAGCTACCACCCTTCACAACATTTTCTGTCCATGACGCTCTTTTCACAGTCGATCCCAAAGGAAACGAACCATGTGCTAGCTATCGCTCTAGATCATTGTGTGAAGGCAGCTCTTTTTGACAGAAATATATTTGTTCCAAGGTAGAACACGCCATCAATTAAAGACAATGAACATCTCATCCGCTTTCAGAAGAATCAGAACTTCATTTATGACTTAGTGGTGAATTAAGTGAAAGATGCAAATTATGACTAATGCAATATCCTATATGCATACACGCTATGCAAATATAATATATATACTAATATACAATACAATATAATATAATGGCATGCAAGCAATCAGAAAATGCATGTCCCTAAGGATTTCCTTAGATAGATAAATCTTTGAGCATCAAGGTTATGTGTTGGAACATATTTATGAACAATTAATCCATCATCAACCAAATTTCTAGTAAAGTGGCATAGCATGCTAGTACGATTAAGAGAATGTTGAACAGAATATTTGGAAACATTAGTCGCATAAGTAAGGTCAAAGAAAAGGTCAATGGCTTGTACCTCAGTTCCAAATTTAAGAAAAATGTGCTTCATCCACACCCTTTTTGAACAACAAGTGTCAGCCACAAGATTCTGATCGGTGTACGAACATCCGTCAGACGTACTCCATTAATCAGCAACATTCTCATCCCTATCAGCATCACAATCTCTAATAATACCAGAACTCGTATCACATGAGTCAAAAGTCATATAATCAATCAAATAGCAGTTATCATGCGATCTAGACCCTGTAAGAACACAATTATTATACCTATCTGAAACCAAACAATCATTTAAGGTGAAACTCACAGAAAAGTCTTGATCACATAATTGACTCACACTCAGCAAATTCGCTTTCAAATTTTCAACAAGAAGAACATTTTGAAGTTGGGGCAATCCAAGAACATTCAAACATCCTATACCGAGAACTCTATTCATAACACCATCACCAAAGGTCACAGAACTAGAAGGAACATGCAAAATATTAATCAAGTTAGATTTTAGACCTGTCATATGACGAGAACAACCACTGTCAAAATACCAATCAGAATTAGAGGTGGATTTCAATGCAAGTATAGAAGATAAGCACACGTTCTTACTGCCTTTAGGAACCCAAATCTTTTTCTGTTCATGATTAACCACATCAACCTTTAGTTTAGGTGCTTTCAAGGGTACACCATGTGGACTCCATTCATCAATTCGACCAGTATAAATATCATTATGCATCCTATAACACTTAGGGCGAATATGACCACGGATACCACAATAGTGACAAACAGACACAAAGTTCTTACCAGAGTTCTTATGCTGAGTTTTGGTAGAATTAGGCTTACCA